CCTCGTCTTGCTCGTGTTTCTAGCCTCCAAAAGTCTCCAAAGATCTGAAAATTATGTCCAAGACTCTTCAAAAACGTGTCCAAGGGTTATATAAATAGGCAGGGTCGAGTCTTAGTCGAAATAGGTCGAAAAAACCGAAAAAATAGGAAAAACGCGTAAATCCGGAATTTGTCGCGCCCAGGGTCACACGACGCGTGTCATTGGCCACACGAGTCATGTGACAAAGTCGAGAGGACGATTAACGACCCGTCAGAGCGACACGAGCCGTGTCTCGTGCTCACACGACTCGTCTGCACTTGGAGTTCAAAACAGCACCAGATCGTCATTCTCAGCTCGATTCGTGGCTCCTGGTCGAATTTCCGGCATCCCACGTGTTCAGAAGACGTCCAGGTCGCCGGACATGGCGTTTTTCGGCCAGCTCACCCTCAGCCCGGCGTCTTGGTCGTTGAACATGGCAGTTTTGTCCGATGGTCGCGCAGCCACTCAAAGCGTCTTCTCCGGTGACCGTTTCAGGTGGCAGTGGTCGGTCTGAAGTCGAGCAGGACGGTGGCGAGCGGTCTCCGGTCGAAGCTTTGCAGCAGCTTTAATGGCGGACATACATGCTGGTACGTGAAGCTTGAATAAGAAAATAATGAATGAAATGACTATCTTGTCCCTCATTTAAATAGCTTCTTGGGCTGGTTTTGTGGCCTTTGCTGGGCTCGACATTTGGGCCTCAGTGGCTTCTACTTCGGCCCAACATCCTGGAAAAGAGCTTATTTCTTTTTCTCCAATAGGGCCTTGCAATTGGGTCATTCTCAATACAAAATTCGCACACTGTTTTCGGACTCCAATTATTATTTCGAACCTATTTTCCTGTCAAAACTCAAATAAAGCACCTCATCATAGCTTAATAAATATAATTATATAATTAATTAATTAATTAATAATTAATCAAATATAATTAATTATATATTAAACTACGACAAAACAGACACAAATATCACTATAAAATGCACGTAAATATGACGTATGTCACCTGTGCATTTGTACAAATATAAACCACGTTTTTGTTTGTATTTATTAGTTAGACATGTACTTCTATTATATAAATATTATTAATTTTCTTAAGTTATTTTTATTATTCAAAATTAATTGAGATTTAAATTTTATTTTAACCATGCAACGTTTACATTAGTAACATGATAAAATAATTTATATATTTGTAGCATATATTAAGAAAGTTAACATAAATAAAAAAATTAATATTTTTATTTAAAACCTCCTTGTACACAACATTATGAGTTTGATTATTTGGTAACTCCTCATTATCACAAACTAATATTTTCAAAAGAGACAAATCCTAAAAATCAAACTAATATTTTTGGTGAACAAAGTAATATTTTAGGATTGGTGAACAAACTAATATTTTAGGATTTCTAGGATTTGTCTGGTTTTGGTGAACAAACTAATATTTTAGGATTGGTTATATGAATAAGGCTACCTATTTGGTGTTCTTTTCATTCATTTTCATTCAAACAATCCGATGACTTGTATAATGAAATCCGAAGCTTAAGCTGAAATATTTAAAAAAAGAGTTTTTAAAAATTGAAATGTCAAGGCAATTAGTTCAGATTAATTAAAGGTCAAAGAATATCCGCTCCTTGAAATAAAGACGTGTGCTATCATTAACCAAATATCCGGTTATTGATATAGAGTGGTTACCAAAAAATAAAACGCGATAAGGACGCTTCATGAAAATATCAATGGGATAAGGTCATAACAGATCGCTATACATTTTAACGATAAAAGCTCAGATGGAATGATTTATGATAATTATGTCGTAATTAATGAATTAATTAGATGTGTGAAAAAGACATAATTAATGAGAAGTGTGAAAATGACATAATTAATGAGAAGTGTGAAAAGGACAAAAACTTACCGGTTTTGAAAAATATTTAATGCAACTACGACATTGACCATAATTTGACCCACTATTTTGGATAAATGTTAATTCTTATTATATAAGTATAGACTAGTAAACACATCCACAAAATAAAAAAAAAAAGGAAAAAAAAAACATATAGTGAATTTTGTAGTAGTTACAATCAAATTCAAATTCTCGGCAGAATCAAAAAACACATATCATTAATATTACCTTTCATGCGTTTGGATGAACTTTGATTATATATATATACTTTTAGGGTAGGGTTTCTTGTTTTGCTGAATGTTGGGATTTAGAATTTTGGTAATGAGGTGGGAAAGAGAGACTAATTATTAATAGAGGTATGGAATGCTTGGGCCTTATGGTTGTATCAATTTGTTTTGAATCAAAGCCCAGTTGGGTTCATGGGTTGTAACAAGTTGAGTGGGCCAAATTAATTTATTTAACATAACTATTACTAATTTAAAAAAAAAAAAAGCAGCGGGCCAGCCCGCCCCGCCAAAACTCGCGGCCCGCACGGGCTAGCCATTTAGGCCCACTCTCCAGCGGTTCTCTACAATCTCAACCCCGCCCACCTTTTAGGCGGGGCGGGGCGGGCTGGCATGCGGGCCTGAGCCCGTTTTGACAAGTTTAATTAGTTGCATGATTTAAATTTGAAATATAATATATTGACAAAACTTGCAGTTATTGCATTTATTAGTTGCATGGTTTATTAGTTTTATGGTTTAAATTTGATATATAATATATTAAAAAAAAAGATTTTTATTTCAAATTAATAATCGAAAAAATAATTATTTATAATTTATGGGTCAATATTAACTTGAACGTAAATGAAAAGTCAATTATTTATAGTTTAAATAAATTACTCAATAAGTTACGGGTCACTATTAACTTTGACGTAAACGAAATAGTCAATTATGTATAGTTTAATAAATTACTCAACTACTTAATTTTTTGATTTGAATAGTTTATACTAAAATAAATTATTTTAAGTAATGAAACAATATAAATTTTATATTTATACTTATTATTCACATAGGTTGTTAAATATATGATAAAATTTTGTCAAAATAATTATTTTATGGAATCACATTATAGTCAAATCGAATTTCTTAATTAAAATTTTGAAATGTCACTTATTTTGGAAACGAAAATAATGTAATTTATTATCAATTATGTGCACCGCACGTGTTGTGTATTAATTTTAAATAGACATTTTTATGTATTTTTGTACAATTTAAACTTTATATAACTTTTTCAATAAATTAATATAGGTAAGTTGTATTATATATTGATTTCATATTTTTAATTTATAAATATTAATGAATATATTTTCCCAGTGCATTGCACGAGGGACTCATACTAGTATAATTTTAAATACAACTATTTCCTATAAGATAAGTCTCACAAGAAATCCTATGAAATTAGCCTGCCATTTATTTGTTTTGCTTATAATAATTTTTCAATATGCCCCAGTACCATGTGCCTTTTACACGTTGAATTGTTTGATAGACAATTTTAAATTATATGTCCATAGTTGAAATGATATGTCATGGTACAGATCATGAAAAGATTCCTTCTCCATTTTTTTTTAATTTCTACACACCTGTCCAACGGTCCCCCTTTTTTTTTACTTCTTCTTAATTTTTCCAGGCTCCTGTCCCCTTCCAAACTTAATTCTACTCCAACTTTATAAGTAGTAATTATTATCAATAAGTAGGTGCAATTAACACAATTGACTTACCCATACCACGTTCGGCGGAAATTTGATCCCACCCTAAATGTCACCTTTTTTCTAGGATGAGCTTTTTTTACCAGCAAATGAAATACCGTGACATTGCTTGAATATGCTGACTTTTTTAAACAATTAAAGGGGGATTTGTAGAGTTTTTCTTCGTACACAATAATAATATCATAACCCTCGTTAATGAAGATAGAGATGAATGTTTTAAAAAAAAAGATGAAGAGAATATGAAAAAACGTAGTGTATTTATTAATTAAATGAGGGTAATAATGAAAAAATATGTACAAAAGATCCAAAACGACATTTATTTTTGTTAGTAGTTGATAAAACCAAAATGACATTTAAAAAGAATAGGAGGTAGTATATTTTTGACCGTTGAATAGAAATATGTTGGTATTCAATTTGAAAGAACATACAAAAGGATCTTAAATTCGGTTTGGGAATTTTGAAAATCTCCAAAATTATCAAGATCTGAGATGATAATCTGATAAATCTTTTTNCTGTACTTTAATAGTACTCCCCATTTTAAAGCAATTGTGAGTTTAAGGAAAAAAAGGGTAATGTTTCACACTAATAGGTTCTCTATAAATTTATGATAACACTCCTTAAGGAAAGATTTAAAAGTTCACACTAATACCATGCTTATTTCTATTGCTTTCTCCCACAGAATATTTCATTTACTTAACGTGTCCGCCATGATCTCTTACAGGAGTTATATACAAATGACAAAATGACATAGAATATCGAGTGGTGGTTCATGAATTGATGTATCAAAGTGTGTTTATTTGAAGATATACTTAATATATGTCTTAATATATTATTTGTTAATAGCTACGGATAAAATTGAAGATTTGTGAATAACTATGGATAGAATTGACGTACTGACTTATGTACTATCTTATGTTCGACTTATGTTCTGTTCGAGTATTGAATATTGATGAACTAACTTCTGTTCTGAGTGAGTGTTTATTTTAAGACATGTATATATTTATAAATAGTGTGTTTAAAGTTAAGACATATATCAATATATCATTTATTAATGAAACATTAGATAGAATTTTATCTACATCTCAAAGACCCAACACTCTTCACGTGTCAGACCCAACAGCGGAGCATGTGATATTTTATGAAGAACCACATCTAGTTTGGTCAAAGATGGCAAAAGCTCGTGTTGATGTTGTATTGTTTGTAATAAGAAGTTGTGAACATGGCAAGGGGACCAAAGATTCCCCAACTTCAAAAACAAATGACATACATGGGAAAATCAAACAAAAGTACATAAAACAACCACCATATTTATCATTAAGA